CTCGTACTTGGGGGGAATTAGTACTGTGGGTTATTCTTTTGCCTGTTCCAGGAGAGGAGAACATCGTATGTTTCCAGTCCGGTGGGTTTGAGTGATCGTGAACTGCTGCACTCTTCGAAAGGTGAATCCCTTGACCGGTATTAACCCTCACTATACCGGGTTATACCATAACAACTGCCATCTTATCAGGTAGGATGGGGCGTGGGCATTCCGCCCATAGTCTCGCCCTGACCTCTTTGTCTAGAGGTTTGCGTATCCAGAAATGCACGAAATGCTCAGGTAGGGACCATTCTGAGGATCTCGGGTGTCTACTGGTGTGAAGATCAAAGAAAGGGCAACCTTGGGAGTTGTGGGGATATTTATGGGATGATAATAGTAAACAGTCGAGAATTGCCCACTATTTCAATTCTCTTAGATCTTAGAGATCATTATCATGTAAGTGAAATGTATTCCATACAAATAAAATCACAATTTGTTATAAAAATAGATATAATTTATTGTGACAAATAAAATAACAATAATATTATGCAGCATGCATGATAATAATCAGTGAATATTTAGTATAACATAAGTATGTAATACAATGGCATGGCTATACACGTTCCAAAGCTACAGCATCACCTGTCGCTTAGTAAGATTTATGAGGGTACTTCACAGACACAGAAAGTAAAACTTCACACAGCGAAAAGCCATTAAACCTTGGCTAACAGTTACATCAACTGAGTAACCCTTTCAATGCTGGCTAGATCCTCCTAGGCATATAATATCCTATTCTCATGTAATTTTCAATTAAAATAACATTCAAACCAGCTCATTAATCATTTCCTGATTTATATCCAATAAGAATAATCTACCAGATTCTATAAGCTGAATTTTAATTTGCTTAAAAAGATATCTTATCTTATATAGAGCAAATCAATACACCTGGATAAAAACAACGGTATGCTAAAACGTGATATTATCACATTAATATATAATTATTCTTAATTTCACCTGCAGAATGGAATGTTTATAACTATATATTCTTTAGTTAACTAAGATTTCTAATATTGAAATCTGACCGTGATTTATCCAGTCATATATCATGCTATTAGTAAATTTTAATTAATTTAAATTAATTAAATAAAACCAGCATAATTACCAGTTATGTAGGTATTCTCATCAGATGAGTAGGAAGTCCCAGGAAAATGTGAGTATGATTGGTTGTATGGAGGTGCGTGAGTAATAGAGAAAAGTTATGTTGGTTAGAAAGTACCAGTAAAATTCTAAGTGTCAAGGAGTGTTTCTTGAGTTGTGTCCAAGAGAGTTTGAGAGTTGAGTGTTAGTCCCTGAGAGTGTCCTTAATCTCTCTGCATGTCCGAATCTGAATGCCCAAACTCCACCAACTACCTACTCTTCCCTTTGTCCTAACTTTTAAAGGGCCAGACTCTCTGTACGTCATTAGTTGATAAGGCCAATAGGAAACTGAAGGTGTGTTCAACCTGCAGATTGCAATTTAGGTATTTGATCCATAGAGGGCAGTCTCGCTTCACTAAACCCTCCTATCCAGGAAAGAGTTAACTTTTCCTGATGACTATTTTGACGTAATTTGGCTTATCTAAAATGACTACCATAACTTAAATTTACTGTCAGTTCAAAGTGTTTGTCTCAGTCTTTGTGGCAACTACTTTGATCGTAATTTCTAAAATTGACAGTTCTACACTCAATTTCACCCCTTACTTACAATGGGACCTTGTAAAATTTATAAAGTAAACTTAATTACTTAGTCTTCTCTGTCACTAGTGTCTGTGTTTATATAATGCATTCCTTAGCTCAGGCTCAGTGGTTAGTGAAAGCAAGGAAATTATGTGTCTTCGTTATCCTGAAGATAAGTCTGCTCTGTTCTGAGTGACTCTGGCAATATACACTTTTAATTTCTATTTTAGCACAAAATGTCTGGCGATATAAATATCCTGACAGAGTCCAGAAAAAAGCCGTCTACCTCCTGAGAGGAGAGGTCGTGCGTCAACCCCTGAGGAGAGGGAGCACCCGTGGCAGCACCAGACACATATTCGCAGTCATGGGGAGGCAGATCTTGCCAGTCATTACCGTCATCGGATGTGGATTCATCCGCCCTCCATTCGTCTAAGATATTCAGAGCCGGAGGATAGTTCTCGTCTTCCCCAAGGAGGGTGCCGGTGGGGGGTTCAGGCCTGAGCACTTGTTTGGTGCGTTTTGCCGGCTCTTTTCCTTTAGGCCTAGAGAGGGATGTTGCGCCAGGTCTGTGGCGTTTGGTTATAGGGACCGTGCCCAGAATGGATTTCTTCGGATCCTGCCGCATCGTCACCCTGTGAAGGGAATGTGGCCGAGGGCAGGTTAAGTACCTCAGGTGGAAGTTGGGTGAGCATTAGGGCTTTTTCTACTGATGCTGCTACTGCAGCGTTAATCATGGACTGAAAGTCCTGGGTCTGTGGTGGTGTATCACTCATTTTGTGGTATCTGTGGAGGAGAGTACACAGATTAGTGTCCGTGCAGGCCGTATGGGCTGCCGGGAGTCCCCTGCAAGTACAATCAAAGTATGCCCACAGGCATAATATAAATCTCATAATGAGTGAGAAGGATCCAATTATAGTGAGAATGAATCTCAATGCCGGTCGCAGTGAACGGCTGGTGTCAGGGAGTAAAACCCTGAATTGCTGGGAGGCATTAAAAGCTTCCAATAGTGCAGGGGTTGTATATTCTGTGTGTCCCCTATGGGGATGGTACCAGTCAAACGGATGTAACCATATATATAAGCGTGGGGTTCCCAATAAGTGTTATGGTACCTTAATAGCCCTGGTTCCTTCAGTGTCAAAGGCTTACCCTGATAGTACTGCAGGTTAAATCCCTGCATTCAGGCAATATGATAACGAGAGCTCATAGGCAAAAATCCTTACTTGCAATTGCTGACAGAGATCCTGATTTATAAAGGGAGAGTCTGAAGGCTGAATGCCGTATCCCCGGTGTCAGGATAAATACCCACGCTATTAAGAAAAAACAAACAAGGCAGCAATTAGGGTCGCGGCTGCAATCCAAGATGGTGGGAGGGAACAACTCCCGCGGTCCGTGCGAGCGGTGGAGAAAATGAAAAAACAAAAAAATTATGAATAAAAAAACTCTGAATCCCACAGTGCCCCAACACCCAAACCCCCCCGCCCCGTTACCCGGAACGGTACACAGACACCCTACCGCAAACAAAATTGGGCCGCAGACAAAAAGTTACCTCAGGAAGTTAGCCGGGCAGAAAGGAGGGAAAGGTAGGGTTAGAGGAGCAGGGATAGGGGAGAAATTAAATTAGAAATAAGTATGAAAAAACAGAATTACTGACAAATTGTAAATAGATAGAAATGGATGAAGTAATACTCTGACCTGTACTCTGGCTGAGCAACAAAGAAAGTGGAAGTGCATCACAGAGCTATTTATAGCAGTGACTTGTTTTCTGAGAGGTTTAAAAGTTTTGATTGATCTGTGCTGCTGGAGTTTTAGTAAAGAAAGATTATGCAAATATGAAGCCTCCTGTCGTGATAAAATTTGTTTGTTTACCCTTGGTTATGTGGCAGCAAAAATTTGACTTTTTGTGTCTCACCTTTTATAAAATATTTAAATGCTAATTGAAAATAACTTCAGTTCAATTTTACAGTAGGGTGGATAAGGGCTGTAGTGGTGATTAGAGACTATATTAGGGGACACAGAGGCTGTAGAGGTGGATAGGGTCTGAAGTAGGGAATGGGAGATAGGGACTGTATGGAGAGAAAGGTGCTGTAGTGGCATATGGGGTATATAGTAAGGCATAAGGGCTATAGTTGGGGCATAATAGCTACAGTGGATTGTAGCAACCATGAATGGGGGGTAGTGGCTAAAGTGGAGGGATAGAGGCTGTGGTGAGGATGATAAATGTAGTGGGGGATAGGGGCTATGATGGGGTAATGACTATAATGGGAGGGATAGTGGTGGGTGTTGTGGACTAAAATATTAACACAATCCATGTTAGTAAAATGCCTATTTACTCAACATAACTATAATCAGCATTATTCAACTTTCTATATGATTTACCTAATATGGCCGCTAAAGAGTTTCCCCTTTAACATCGACTAACACCCTCATTAACAAGATGGCGCTGGAATCTGGGGGAGACCTCCAAGATACCAGTGACATCACACCCGGTAGGCAGAGCATTAAAATAAACCACTTAACACCTAACCAATTATTGATGTATTATTTCATGTTATCTCTGACAATGCGTATGATGTAATTTTGCTTTATAAGGGACATGTCGTCCCCCCAGAATAAACATTCCTCAAGTTTTTCATTAACCCAAAACTTGTCTCTGGTGTGAATTACTTTAGGAGCGTGCACGCATTATTTCTTTAATTTGGCCGGGGGCAGATATGCAAGATAATCAATTTATTGATTGATTTCCACATCAGTGGGGATATAGGCTGATGGGCAGGATGGGAGGGGAACATATTTAATAATAATAAAAAAACTAAACTGAAGTGCATTCCCTTGTTCCGGAGACTTACTTTGGGCTAGAGCCAAGGCTGTCTGGTGAGGGAGAACCTTGGACTTCCACACTAGCTGTGCCAACCCTTTCCTTCCTGCTGCCCTGAGGCCATGGCGAACCCTGCTTGTTCATTAAAGTTTCTGTCTCATTAGTATAAAACTCTAGCTTTCTAAGTCATATACACCATGGGCTGGGGGACTTCTTCCTGATGTGTGACTTTGAGCCTGAATCATACTTACATATCTAGCAGGAATGCCCAACTCCCTGGCTGCTATTCAAGGTTTGATAGAAAATGGTTTCCTTAATGTTACGTATGCATATTCCCCTTTCCACATCACTAACTACATTTAAAGCTCTCATTCTACTTCAATGGAAATGTTATTTACCACTAGTAATGTCCCGAACGGTTCGCCGAATGGTTCGCTGCGGTTCGCCACGAACGGTTCGCCGCGAACGGTTCGCCACGGACTCCAGTCAGCAGACACATTCCAGCCAATCAGCAGCAGACCCTCCCTCCCAGACCCTCCCACCTCCTGGACAGCTCACTAAGAATGCAGCTTCAAAATGGATGCTGTCCAGGAGGTGGGAGGGTCTGGGAGGGAGGGTCTGCTGCTGATTTGCTGGAATGTGTCTGCAGACTGGATTCCGTGGCGAACCGTTCGGGACATCACTATTTACCACCCATCTATTGTGAATGCCTAAACAAAGTTGAACACATTTATAAATGGGAAGAATTGAGTTAATCAGCAATATGTTAGCAGGAGGCCCGGGGTGGAGCAGTAGTTAATTAAATGCTCTGTGGGCACTGTCATTTTTGCTCTTCTGCTCCTGTCATTTCATTTGCCAAGGGCCCATGGCAGTGTTGTACTCTCACACATGCAGAAGAATACAACAGTGATGTCTTCCCCGTGAAGACTCCAATATATTGTGATAAGAGGGACACAGATAAAACTTGATGGTGGTGCCAAGGTCCCTGTTTTGTCTTATAATATCTTTTCACTGAATTGAAATTTCAGTAACCCTTTGCAGTGCTTGATTCCCGTCTCCTTAGGAGCCACCTCCAGTACTTGGTACCTTCAGTTGGGTTTCCGCAGCTGATGTTCATGCCCCTTGCCTTCTACGTTCATTCCATTCACGTTTTCCTGCCAAGCTTGGTCCGGTGGGCGTATCTTCAGGGGGGTACTGTTGCGGTACTTACCATATCTGGGGACTGGCTGGTGTCGAGGACAGGAGCCGCGTGCGGCTTGATCTTCTCTTCTCAGCAGGCCGCGTGCACTGACCGCAGTGAGCTGTCATGCAGCCCGTCTCGCACTAGGAGCGTGGCTCGCATAACGAGCGCGCTCTTAAAGGGGCAGTAAGAGCCACTAGTGGGTTCAGGCTCCCATTGGCCCACGTAATTTCAACACACCCACACACACGTTAGTTTTTGGGGCGTACGCCAATCAAATTTTACTTAAAGGCTATTTAAACTTCCTTAGTTCTATCCACTTTTCAGTACCCTTTAGTGCATTCCTTGTTCTATTGTGTTTATTCTGTTATTGACCTTGGCTTTGTTTCTGACTCTAAGTTTATCTTTAACCCTTTCCTGTCTTGTTTGCCCATCTGACTGATTACTGTGTACCTTACTCTGGCTATTTTTTGTTTTCCCTGTCTCTCCGTTACCCTGACCTCAGCTTGTCTCTGATTACGCTTTATCTCTGTCTGACATTTAGTCCTGCCATTCTAAGGCCCGGTAATATGTTATTTCCTTGTCTTGTGCCTTGCTATCCTAAACTTTGAATGTTGGGTATTATACCGTGAAAAATTCCAACTCAGCCTTTATGATTTTATCTTTATGATATGCTCACAATTTTTGGGGTGATGACAGAACCACTTTAATTCCCAGGCTACCGATGAATGGAAAGCATCAAAAACTACCAGGAAAGAGGGTATAAGGCCATAGTCCTATATTCCGGCATATCTTTAGAAATATCTGCAGATGGAGTAAGAGCAACCAGAATCTCTAGATGAAGCCAGTGGTTTAATTTGTTCTTTTAAGTTTCAGTGAAAGAAGTAACTGACCAGGAGTCCTCGGAGATGGATAAAACTAACGATCAAATCCACTGCATTAGGATAGAAGTCAATTGAATCATATGAAAGTTAATTGTCAGTAAGGAAGAAAAATAAAAATAAACTAGAAAAGCTACAATTTCTGGGGTAATTGTGTGTAGTATTCTTGCCTCCACCAGTAGTCTACAACTGGAGTGGGCAGAGTAACTATTATCATTTACATAGCACATTTACTTGCAACGTTGTTGCACAGTTACATTAAACCATACATTTATAAAAACATTACACACAGCAGGTGTTCAAAAGGCCCTGTCTATGACATCACTTGCTGCTGCAGCCTGACACAGGTCAGAGTATTTTGGTGGTTGCCATCTTCAAACGGTCGTATCTTAAAACTATAACTCCTACAGTGAAGAGCTTTATATTGTGAGAATCACAAGACCCAGACCTACATTTTGATGCATAGTATGTCTCTGAAGTATTAAAATTGAAGGCACAGTCGCAGTTTAGAAATTGCACTTCAAATTTGAGCTTTGCAGAGTGAAGTTTCAATGAAAGTCAATGGACGGCGTTTGTTGCAAACAAATGATTATATTGTGAAAACTATCAGGTCTATGGCTTAGCCGTTGACATGTTTAGTGGCAGCAGGGATAGCTGAACGTTTTGATTTAAGATTTGTGTAGGTGGGCCTGAAAATAAGGGAGTGGTGGCAGTTTAGAAATCATGTCCTGATTTTTCAGCTTTTGGCAGCTCCCACTCTAGCTTTGCCATTCATTCCTATGGGACAAATTTCACCACAAAAACGACGATATTCCGTGAACCATTCGGTGAAACGTTCCACAAAGTAATAGCAATCCGATCGGGAACAATCTGCACGTTTTGGTAAATTTTGGTCTATGTAGTGTAAAAACTGTGGGAGGAGTTAGGGTGGCAAATTTGGCTATAATAAGAATAAGAATAAGAATAAAAACTAGAAAAGCTACAATTTCTGGGGAAATTGTGTGAAGTGTTCTTGCCTCCACCTGTAGTCTACAACTGGAGTGGGCGGAGTAACTGTTATCATTTACATAGCACATTTAATTGCAACGTTGTGCACAGTTACATTAAACCATACATTTATAAAAACATTAGCAGGTGTTCAAAAGGCCCTGTCTATGACATCACTTGCTGCTGCAGCTTGACACAGGTCAGAGTATTTTGGCGGTTGCCATCTTCAAACGGTCGTATCTTAAAAACTATAACTCCTACGGTGAAGAGCTTTATATTGTGAGAATCACAAGACCCAGACCTACATTTTGATGCATAGTATGTCTCTGAAGTATTAAAATTGAAGGCACAGTCGCAGTTTAGAAATTGCACTTCAAATTTGAGCTTTGCAGAGTGAAGTTTCAATGAATGTCAATGGACGGCGGTAGTTGCAAACAAATGATTATATTGTGAAAACTATCGGGACTACGGCTTAGCCGTTGACATGTTTAGTGGCAGCAGGGATAGCTGAACGTTTTGATATAAGATTTGTGTAGGTGGGCCTGAAAATAAGGGAGTGGTGGCAGTTTAGAAATCATGTCCTGATTTTTTCAGCTTTTGCCAGCTCCCACTCTAGCTTTGCCATTCATTCCTATGGGACAAATTGCGCCACAAAAACGACGATATTCCGTGAACCATTCGGCGAAACGTTCCACAAAGTAATAGCAATCCGATCGGGAACAATCTGCACGTTTTGGTAAATTTTTGTCTATGTAGTGTAAAACTGTGGGAGGAGTTAGGGTGGCAAATTTTGCTATAATAAGAATAATAATAATAACTAGAAAAGCTACAATTTCTGGGGAAATTGTGTGAAGTGTTCTTGCCTGCACCAGTAGTCTACAACTGGAGTGGGCGGATTAACTGTTATCATTTATATAGCACATTTAATTGCAACGTTGTTGCACAGTTACATTAAACCATACATTTATAAAAACATTAGCAGGTGTTCAAAAGGCCCTGTCTATGACATCACTTGCTGCTGCAGGCTGGCACAGGTCAGAGTATTTTGGCAGTTGCCATCTTCAAACGGTCGTATTTTAAAAACTATAAATCCTACAGCGAAGAACTTTATATTGTGAGAATCACAAGACCCGGACATACATTTTGATGCATAGTATGTCTCTGAAGTATTAAAAATGAAGGCACAGTCGCAGTTTAGAAATTGCCCTTCAAGTTTGAGCTGGCCGAGTGAAGTTTCAATGAATGTCAATGGAAGGCATGAGTTGCAAACAAATGGTCATATTGTGAAATCTATCAGGACTATGGCTTAGCCGTGAACATTTCTAGTGGCAGCAGGGATAGCTGAACGTTTTGATATAAGATTTGTGTAGGTGGGCTTGAAAATGAGGGAGTGGTGGCAGTTTAGAAATCATATCCTGATTTTTCAGCTTTTGCCAGCTCCCACTCTAACTTTGCCGTTCATTCCTATGGGACAAATTTCGCCACAAGAACGACGATATTCCGTGAACCATTCGGCGAAACGTTCCACAAAGTAATAGCAATCCGATCGGGAACAATCTGCACGTTTTGGTAAATTTTTGTCTATGTAGTGTAAAAACTGTGGGAGGAGTTAGGGTGGCAAATTTTGCTATAATAATAATAATAATAATAATAATAATAATATATGTGAGATAACATTAAGTGGTCTTGCTATGCAAGAACACTTAACTAGAAATGCTACAATTTCTGGGGAAATTGTGTGAAGTGTTCTTGCCTCCACCAGGAGTCTACAACTGGAGTAGGTGGAGTAACTGTTATCATTTATATAGCACATTTAATTGCAGCGTTGTTGCACAGTTACATTAAACCATACATTTATAAAAACATTAGCAGGTGTTCAAAAGGCCCTGTCTATGACATCACTTGCTGCTGCAACTTGACACAGGTCAGAGTATTTTGGCGGTTGCCATCTTCAAACGGTCGTATCTTAAAAACTATAACTCCTACAGTGAAGAGCTTTATATTGTGAGAATCACAAGACCCAGACCTACATTTTGATGCATAGTATGTCTCTGAAGTATTAAAACTGAAGGCACAGTCGCAGTTTAGATATTGCACTTCAAATTTGAGCTTTGCAGAGTGAAGTTTCAATGAATGTCAATGGACGGCGTTGGTTGCAAACAAATGGTCATATTGTGAAAACTATCAGGACTACGGCTTAGCCGTTGACATGTTTAGTGGCAGCAGGGATAGCTGAACGTTTTGATATAAGATTTGTGTGGGTGGGCCTGAAAATAAGGGAGTGGTGGCAGTTTAGAAATCATGTCCTGATTTTTCAGCTTTTGCCAACTCCCACTCTAGCTTTGCCATTCATTCCTATGGGACAAGTTTCGCCACAAAAACGACGATATTCCGTGAACCATTTGGCGAAACGTTCCACAAAGTAATAGCAATCCGATCGGGAACAATCTGCACGTTTTGGTAAATTTTTGTCTATGTAGTGTAAAAACTGTGGGAGGAGTTAGGGTGGCAAATTTTGCAATAATAATAATAATAATAACTAGAAAAGCTACAATTTCTGGGGAAATTGTGTGAAGTGTTCTTGCCTCCACCAGTAGTC